AATATGAAAATATAACAACTCTTCGTTTTAAGGATTTTGAAGAATAACAACCAAGTTTATAGCAAAACGCATTGTTTCTATTTGGGGTCATTTTTGACCCCACTCGTGGAAGAGTGTAGGTATTGGTAGGTTGTGCATCCAAGGGTTAAATACCCTTTCTTATGATTGGACACATCTGTATTTAAAGTTCAAGACTTAACAAGCTAATTTTGTTGTGTACCCGATTTTTTGCACAGCAGGTTTTTATATTAAATTTCATACAAGTAAATACTGCTTCACTAAAAATCTTTGTCTGGAAAACACAGCAGTACTCAGATATTCCTAGAAAATAAAAGACATACCACTGTCATCTTTTTTGGTGAAAACAGAGTGAATTATTATGATGCTGAGAGGGGTTACCAAATGTTTCCGTGAGTGTAAATACTATTTAATTCATTTAAATAAATGTTTCTGAGCTCCATGGAACAGGTTGGATCAGTGTTAGATTTTAGTTTTTTCCCCTTCCAGCCCAAAAAGTTTAGATTATTTTGGTTTATATTTACTGTTCATCATCTTATCAACAAATTTGTGTATATTTTCAACCTAACCATTTGATTCATTAAAACTGTATTTTTGAGCTATGTCATTTTTCTCAACAAAAGGGTCCTAATACAAGTCCCACAGCGATGGAGCAGTCAGCAATGTTGACTTGTCGCAATAAAACTTAAACCAGTTTGGCTGGGCTCTTTCTGCGTGGAGTTCACAGGTTGTATGTTTTCTCTCACAGCACCAAGACGTACAAGGTTAACTGGTATTATTCTAAAGCGATTGTACAAGGATGGATAAATTGACATCCTGCCTGATAATCAAAGGTGTATGGGTGTAACACACATGTATTTGCAGCTGTTACAGATATAGATTAGTTATAATTTCACATCAATGTTTCCTTTAACTTTGCAGAGATATTCCCACGTGATGCTTCACTGAAACCAAAATGTTACCCATAGATCTCATAGACCCCCTGTGGTTTCTCATTTTACCCCCCACCCAAAAAGACCTGCTGTTTCAGAGGGTTTAGAGGTAACCTGAACTCCACCGAAGTATCCTCAATGAAGGGCTATTGATGAGTCTTCTTGCAGGTGACAACTCTCGCACTTTCTATTTTACAGCTGCACAGTAACAAACGTACAAAGACACAAACTCCGCTCCAGACTGTTTTATTTTTGGATGTTGAGGACATGTCCAGCTCGGTTAAATGATAGAAAACAAAGTCCCAAATCCACCAGCTATCATGGTCGCTGGTTTACTGGTCCTTCAACTCCTTCAGCCTCCTAATAGCGGACTTGACTGTGACAGCAGATGTTGTGCTGCAAGAGAAATATGGGGGAGGGGGGGCAAAGAAAATTATTAGCTTCTACAAACACAACATCTTAATGTTTTTGAAGGACGGACACATTGCTCTGTAGTGAGAACCACTTTGGTTTTTGTGAACTCGCCGAGAACATGAACATTCACTTTTCTTTGAAGCCTTTTAGCATCAACACAGAAACAAGCATTTCCACTTAAGTTATTGTTTTGTTACTTATTAAACTGAATGCAGTGTTGCTGTAATTCATTTTTATTTTTTAAACTTGCTGCTATCTATCCAGCCTCTGCATTTACTACCTGCTGGTTTCTGTCCAGGTTACTACTGTGCCAGTTCTTGATATTAGTAAGCTCCTTCTCTAGAGAAGACCTTGGCCCACAGCCTGATGCACTCAAGCACCAAATTCTTGGACTCAAATTGTTAACAAGTCTTCCTCCTGCTATCTGGAATCTAACGAAACCATGTGGAGAACTGGTTCATGTGCCACAGTCGAGCAAAACGCCTACCATCACCAGCAGCAGGCCAAGATACATAGAGCTGGAGTATCAGAAGCTCACCGGAGAGGGAGCTGGTTATATAGCTACATCACATTTGTCATGCACCATATAAATGCAAACTGCGTGTAAGAAAGTGTGTGCACAGCACAAAGCTGGACACATACCCTTTAAATGATCACTCAGGCTGAGCAGATTGAATTTCAAAGTTTAATTAGGTCTCTAAGATGACTGGAGACTTTTCAAAGTAATGTAGTGAGTGATATGAATGTTCACCGAGTCAACTCTGGCTTATTTATTTTAGATGGACACAATTAAATACACCTGATGACATTAAAGGCTTTAACACCAGCATCAAACGGGTTCTGAGTGTAGAGGGGCACAATCAATGCAGGTGGAGGGTGAGCAGAAAACAAACAAAGAATCCTGCTTTCTCCGTGGGCACACTGTCACCCAAGTTATAAAAACTTAATGATGGGAAGAAAAAAAAAAGACAAACAGCTGAGGGAATTTTTGAACCCCTTTTCTAATCATGACTTCAGCGTCTGCAGCAGTCGAATGACAGAATTAGACCAAAGAGGGAAAGTAACCTACTTGTAAGTCCAGGCACCTCCAGCCACTGTCTTTCTACAGGACCCACAGTGCCAGATTCCAACAGCCCTCCTCTTCATCTTGGTCTGTAAATACAAATTTGCATAGTGAGAACACAAAAGTGGAAACTGTCAACTTATCTGGACACAGATTGCTACTGTACATTATGTGGGTGGTCTCCACTGTTGTCCTTACCTTTCCGCAGAAAGAGCAGGTGTACTTAGCATGCTGGGAGATTTCAATTTTCTTCACCATCTTCCTCAGCGATGCGCCATAACGTGTGCCATATTTACCAACGATCCCCACCTTCTTGGTGCGCTTGGCCTGTGGATAACATGAACACACAGTGAGAAAATACAGTAACCATGGGATTTTGTGGTTTAAAACTACAGGCAAATGGCTTCAGCATTCTGACGTTACTACTACAGGAACAAGTGTCAGGAGAAGCGCCCAGGGTGGCCCCAGAAAGAAAAAAAAGTTACTTCTGACTATAATCCTGCAAAATCTGAGCAACAAGGGTGAAGAAGCTGCTGTCACCATTAGCCAGCCAACATAAGCTTCCTTTCAGCAGGTTAGCCAAAATGCTAACTAAAGTCAACTGAGCAGTTCTCGTTTAACTGTATCAAACGACCACTTTTTGGTGGGGCATTACACATTTCAGTTCAGACTTATTTAATTGTGGGCGCTCAATAGAGGACCGGGACTTAAGGAGCTAGTGTCACTAGCCTGCCCGGTACTTGGAGCTCACACAGTTTAGCAATGGTGGCCGCCATTTCTGTCTCAATGGAGAATGAAAACATCGTTTTTACTGCTGATCCAATCCCAAAACGGACATAAATGAAGGCTAGGTATGACAAAAAAGGTCAACACGAAACCTCCTAATAAGCGATTATATCATTTATAGCAGTGAAACTGTAAGATTGACAAGGATTAGGAACGGAACAAGCTCTGCTCACCATCGTTTCAGTGGGAGACGTAAGTCCAAAGAGGGATTGCTTAACGCGCAGGCGCGATTTACTCAGTCCGTTCACGCTGCATTCTGGGACTTTGAGTTTTCATACAACGCAGACGTTGTACAAAAACGTAAGAGTTCGCTTACGATAATATATATAAATATATTTTCTAGCTCTGGTATTATAACTAAATTAGAATATTTGAGAAAACAGCGTATTTTACAGAAAACTATAAATAAAAGATATTAACCCGTTACTATGGACGCTTAAGCTGATATGCGCATGCGTATTAATGTGGCGTACGACAACATCCCTGCGGCTGCGAGTTGAAGTGTTTGGTCAATTAGCTTGTCACGATGTAGCTTTTGTTGTTTGTGAATATTTAGCCCATTGAAAATATTATTAATTTAAAAGGAAGTTAAATGTTTTGCTATGAAGCTAACACGGAAACTGGTTCTTGCTAAAGCGAAGGCCTCCGACTTGGAGAGCGTGAAAAAACTGAACTGCTGGTAAGTGCATCCATTTTGGCATACCAGTAATTTTGTTGCCCTTTTAATAACATAGTGATCATTGACGTGAACAGGTACCATTTGTGTTGTGTCTCCTCCTGTGGTAACGTTAGGTTACATTTTATTTTTGCAGGGGATGCAACTTGACTGATGTGAGTAGCAAACTTGGATGTCATGTTTACTCTGACAATTAATTTAGTGTTCATACTTAATGAAAGTTGCATGGATTCATGTGTCTTCTCAGATTTCTATCTTCGCTCAGATGCCAAACATTGAAGTGCTGACACTGAGGTAGGTCCCTTTGCCACACACATAAAATCATATCACAGTCACAAATGCACAGACTCATTTGGGACGACCCAGTAACACCAGGCTATGATTCTCTTTCATCTGTCTGCAGTGTCAACAGCATCTCGTCTCTCTCTCCTCTGGCTGGCTGTCTGTCTCTGAGTGAACTCTACCTGAGAAGGAACATGATCCCCTCGCTCTCTGAGCTCTCTCACCTGAGACCGTTAACTCGTCTCAGAGTGCTTTGGCTAGCTGAGAACCCGTGCTGTGGAACTGATGCCACCCAGTATCGCCTCACAGTGCTTCGCTGCCTCCCTCGTCTCCAGAAACTCGATAACCAAGGTGACTGTGTGATGTTTTGGGGCCACACTACCCTCTGCTTACCTCGACTGTTTAAGCACTTTATTAGCAGCCACTCATCTTCCTCATGAAAAAGTTGAGGTTGAAAATCAGTGTCAAATCTAGGAAGTTGAATTGAAGTCTGACTCTTACTGTAGCTATTCTTCTATGTTTCCTGTGTACAGTAGTGACAGATGATGAAATTTCACTGGCTCTCATGGAAGGTGAAGAGGTCACAACACCCCCAGGTAGTATCCAGAACCAGCATACAACCAACGGACTTCAGGATGCAGAGACAGAGAACGACCCTCTAAACTACAACATGGAGGAGACAAAGTAGGTCTTGTGGCCTGAAACAACTTATAGTTTGCAGAAAATGCGGAAACTGTAAAGTAAAATTAACAGAAGAAGATATTTCTGTTAACTTTTGTTTCTAGCAAAATCAGAGAAGAGCTGGGAATGAAGCCACTTTCCAGAGACAAGTTCTCTTCCCTTTCCTCTCCATCAACCAGAGAAAGCAAACCAATCAAAAAGGTAGCTCCTCTCATCACTGTGTCCCTTAAAAGTTTTGCGGGCCTATTATGCTGATATCCAGCTCCATATGTTTTTTCCTGGACTCTACTAAAGTAGCTTTGTATGTCACAGTTCAAACAAACGCTCTTCTGTCTTAGGCTGTAGCTTAGTGCCGCCTTTCAGTTCACTGAATGTCTGAAACGAGCTGTTAAGCCAGCTTTCTTCTGATTGGCCACCCCTCATGATCAAAACGTTCAAGCATAGAAAGTGTATAAGAGATGTGTGTAACCGCCTCAGTTGTTTTCGGGACTCTGTATTTTGGAGCCTCCACTTTAGCTCTATGGCGATCTAGATTTTTCCACCATTTGGTTGGCATTATCAGCTGATGCTAGCAGCAGCATTTATAAGCTGTACATGTGTATCTCACAAAAACACATAACAAAAAACGAGCATTCAGTAACAGACTAAGAAAACTGTGCAATTTACTGTGCTAGCTATATCTTCACAGCAGACCATATCATTTTTTCAGACAATTTATTTAATTATGGCAACAACTGACCAATACAATAGAAATGTACAGTTTAGTGTCCCAAACTAGCAAAGTTGAAGTCTAACCAACCGAGTCCATGCCACTAACTTAAGGCCAAATGCAAATGGGTGAGTTACTGTTGGGTACTAGATTAGTCAATACTGCCATAACAGTACTACTGTGCCTTTGGAGCATATTACCCTCCTAAGACCCGAACTCTTCCACGGCATGCATTTTTAACTTCTCTTTGATATTCGGGCATATTGGGACACGATGAATATAAAAACAAAAAATTACCAGATTTTTTTTTTTTTAACCTAATTTTTGTTTCTAAGTGAAATGAGAGCCACATATGAGGATATTTAAAAATATACGTTTAAAATTTCGATAGAACAGCAGCAGTATAATGTCCTCGTAAGTGGATATCAGGCCCTTGTAGAGCAAAATTGAGTATTTTGGTCTAAATAACCCAAAATGTGATGTCCACATATGTGGATGCCAGGTCCTAGGAGGTTAATGGTATTATCTAAGAAATAATATGACCTGGTGCATAGTTGCATAGCACTAATTAGCAGTTATGTGTTTCTTTGTGGTGCACTCATACTGTTTATGGATCCAGTTTGCTAACCAAGCTTGGTAGCATTAGATGATAACTTGGCACTCCATCCTGTTGGTGGAATAATATCACTTAGAGTAGTATGAAGGCTGAGCTTTAAGGTTATAGGACTGCATGCCCAATGCAGATGATTACTTGAAACTGACCTTGCCTAATATTAGCATCCAGCACTGCAGGTGTGTACATAGGACAGATGATGTGGAAAAGCATAATAGAGCCCATAGATCTATTTATATTGTGAAATTCATTCAAACCTGGAATGTTTGGTTTGTAATCTGCCAGCTAACAATAAAACTTGTGCTTTCAGTCGCACGCTCTTGATGCCGTTTTGCTGCTGCTGAAAGATTTGGATGAAGAGGAGCTTCATGTTGTACACACCGCCACACAGAACAGACTTCAGATGTACACACTGGACTCAGAAAGGCTTACAAAGACAGAGCAAACACAGAAAACAGCTGAAATCCAACATTGATACATTTCACAGCATGCACTCAGGGCTAACCCCATCCTTCTACATTTAACACCAAGCTCAGGTTCATAAAAGGTGCCCACTTTGTCCCATTAACATCTGCCTGCAATATGCATGGCATATGACTACTTCAGTTCCAGCTTTCATGTGTGGACTCATCAGTTCCCCTGCTGTTTTTTTATAGCTGCATGCCTTATCGCTTTGTAAGAACAAAAGATTATGTTTTGCTAAATGTAAATCTATTTCTGTAAAGAAAATAAACAGCAATGCATTAACTTTAAATGTTTTTATTTACATAGATGTTGGCTGTATACGTGAATGTCAGAGGTACAAAAAAAATACATTTAATCTATAATTTAAACTGTTCAGAACCCTGGGGCTCACATCTTATTCAAATGTAACTGTGCTGCTGCACATCTGCAGAGAAGAGATGATTCATAAGTCTGAAGTCTCGTCCACTCAGTCACCCTCTTCGTTCTCCAGGAAATCCATCAGTGTGCTTGCATCCACAGCAACAATCAGGTACTCTACTCCATCTGCTCCCTGAAGCAAAGCAAATAAATGTGATAAGCACCAGGTACTGCAGACACTTAATGAATGAGAGTTGGGGAATTCTAAAGTGGAAGTCCACCTTGCGTGTCCGTATCAGTTTGTGGTCTCTGAACTCGGTCAGCTGAGTCCTCAGCGTGAGGTCAGAGTTCACCAAGAATGCCTCTCGACATCGCTGGTAGAAATCCTGGAATGACAATCCTGCACAGAGGACAAACTGTGATTACAAACTGCACTAGAAAACGGAGACATAAAAGCCAAATGTGAATGCACACCTGTGTATGAAGGATTATCTTTGTTTTCCAGCTGGAACTTGACCAGCAGTTTAAAGATTCCTCTGCAAAAAGAAAAACAAGCAGTTAAGTTTTTTTTCCCCCAACAGCTCTGTACATAACGAGAGACGTCAGACTCGAACAGAAATCGGAAATGAGTGAATAAAGTCACAGCAAAGACAATGGTTGTGCTGCCCTTAAGCCAAAAGAAACTATCATTCTCAACAACAAACAACCACATTCCCTATGAGTATATACTTACTATTTTTCTTGGCTTCAGTGTCCTGGTAGAAAAACACTTGCTGTGTTGTCACTCTTGAAATAAAAGCTTCATAAACTCTTTAAAAGCTTTGAAAAGCTAAAAGTTTTGAAGCACTTCTCACAATAAGATTTGACTGTTGAGTCTGTACATGCAGTTTTCTGAAACTGGTCTGGGCCCATCTAAGACCACAGATGAAAACACCTGTTGACCTTCTGCAGTTTGCACACAGACCAAGGCTGTATCCCAATTCAGGGTCTGCAGCCTTAAAGGCCGCATTTTAAGGCCGATTACGTCAC